TCTCTCTGTGCCAGCTGATGCACCTTCTCAAGCATCCAAGCTGGTGGTGGCCAGAGAGAAGGAGATAATTCCTCTTAGTTGAAAGAGAACCTGAAGAGGTCATTTACCTCATCCAAAAAGCTTTGAAGCATCCCTGTTCTTCAGTATTGCAATTTATTTTGCCACTTCTTACAGATTCTGCAAGAGATCTTTTAATACATTTAGATTAAATGCTCTGATTGCAGGATGACTGTTGAACTTGCCAATATGATTTTGTTAAGAACACCAAATATCACTTCTCTTCCCTGTTTCTGAAACTACTTAGCCTTCCTAAAAAGAAATTAAGAGCTGCTCTAACACAACCTGGGTGGAGAAGCTAACATCAATAAAATTTAGGAACTTATTTCTAAATCTGTATTTAAACCTTTGATGAGTTAGATCAATGCATGTTTTTACTAAGTACCTTGTTGCTTTGTCAACCTAAGGTATCAGGCAAGTTACATTTCTTTTATGCTTCCCTGCTGGTAAAGTTCAGTGAAAGTTACTCACTTTCAAAATGCCTTTTGGTATCCATTTCTCTCTTGCTTGGGCAGAGGAATCCTTATACTCTTAATAGTTGTACTGATGATTTTCATACAGTGGGACTCATGATAGGCTAGGGAAAATCAGGGCTGATACAGAGAGTTTGGAAAGCCCGTTGCAGAACATCTGGAAATGTAGCCAAGAGGAATGTGTGAGAGGAAAACATCTGATCACCTTATAATTTTGTTCATCTGTTCTCTAGCACCTGTGCTGAATCATGTAGCCTTGCAAGTTAGAACATTTTAGTGGCCACATTAAAGGAAAATACCAGTAAGCACAAGAGGTGAGAAAGGAAAGGATGGGAACGTTGATGGGGATATAGGGGTGGCAGCATTGTGCAGTGCTGAAGACATGGGGGTACACTCATTCTGGTGGATACACTCATTCTGGTGGAAAATGCGATGTGCAGAGAGGAGAAATGACCTTCAGAGTCGCTGGCTGACACTGTGAGTCCAGACAAGGCAGGCAAAAGAAATTCCAAGAACTGTTGGGGGCTCCTTGACTTCCTTTGTATTTGACTGCTGAGGCAGCAGGAATCCAACAAAAGCTCATGTGTAGCTGTCCCTCAGGACAGCCTCTAGGTGCATGGGCAGCTATTATATCTTAATTCCTGATACTAATTGGAATGTTTCCAAAGTGCAAGCAGTGACATAAAAACACATATATTATCTTTATATTTCATTTGATATGTAGAAGCAGGGAGACAGAAGAACAGGTTTTGGACATATGTCTCTTTTTTTAAGACAAGTGTGAAGCTGGCACAGCAGATGATGGACGCAGCTGAAGGCACTGTGTGTCCTTGGGCACTCTTTTTCTTCAGTGCACAGATATGTTTCTACAGCATGGTGCTTCCTTGACTGTCCCTCTTGCACCCTGTGCTCTCTGACTTTCTACATTCCATGGTCTGAGTAACAGATATACAAATAAGACTCCACTGGAGTCCTTGCATATTGTCCATTAATTTGTCCTTTCTTTTTAAAACAGAACAAAATGGAATTTTTTTGCCTGTGATTTCACTGTGAACACTTTAACTTGAATATCACATCTCACCTCCACAGTGACATGCAGGATGCAGTAAATATTGCAGGAGATGCCCCAAGAAAACTCTAGCCATCCCAGTAGGCAGTAGGAAATTCACCATTACCATTCCCTCGTGACTAGGGGGCATTCTGTGGCAGTTATTTGCATTTTCTTAGCTTATTTTTGGTATTTAAATCCCACTAAGATGGGATTTAAAGTGTTCAGCAACAGGTTTTGAGACCTACAGTTTCATCCTGGTACAGAACAGCACCCTGAAGACTATTTTTGCACAATAAGCATTTTAGACACTAACAAAATACTGATAATAAGAACAAAATTATTTCATCTGTGGTTTTTTTTTTGTGGTTTACTTTGTTCTCTAATAAATTGTGAGGAAAAAGAAATATTTTTCCTACAACCGTTTTTGCTTTCAAGTACTTTGTTAGAAAAAAAATCTATTTTCAGTACCAGTAGAATTCATCATATTATGACAGGAAAGCAAAATTGTTTCATTTATAAGATCTTGTAACAGCATGAAGCTAACCCCATGGTCTCTCTAAGACAGAAATTCTGCCAGCTGTAGACTTATAAAGAGTCAGCAGAGAAAAAGAAGTTTCTCAGATGGAGCTGTTAGTCATGATATGAAGAATGTGTGTCCCCTACAGATGTTATAGTTATTTGCATGATAAATCCTGATCATCACCGTAGGAATTTTGCAGCCTTCTTTTAAGTTAATGTCAAGTTCCAATTAATCTTCTTTTGACAATGTTTGTCTAATATTTCAGTGTTGAACAACATTTCCAGGGTTACATTTGCAGTGAGCCTACTGGGTACTTTAAATGCTGTATTTCTGACTTTGTACTTGCTTCAGAAAGACTTCTTTTAATTCTTCAATGCTTCACAAATATTTCTAGGAAAGACAAGTATAATAAGCATTGATAAATGTTTATTAAGGGCATATCTAGACCTGCAAATTAACTGGAATGAACACTGGAGTTAATTTAGAGCAAGCAATAGTTCTGGAACAACTCCCTGGGAAAAAAAATATGTATTCTATAATAAAATTACCTCATTCTCATGTTCAACACTTGAACTGTTTTGAGTAACATAAGATAAATGAGAACAAAGCATGTTTGTTCCAGTTTGTGGGATCATTACTTTTACTTAGGAATGACAGTCTAGGGAATTCAAAATGAAATTAGGCATGTGAAAATACCTTAAGGTGTCTCCAAGAAACTTGAGGTTGCATAAATACAGACTCAGATGCCAGCAGCCCTTTATAAACCAACACTACATTGACAATTTTTAAAGGTCTGTGTAATGCAGAACATGGTGCTACACAGAGCACTGCACCCCCACACACAAAAGGTTTTTTTTTAACAAGGATGCCATTGCCAATACACCTTGAGTGAACAGGGTGCGTTCACTCAGCAGGAGGTCTGGAATTATCGTCTGGTTTGGAAAATTATAGCAAATTCTTTGGTAGGGAAACAAAACCAGATGTTGCCAGTATCTTTACTTCTCCTCTGTTCTTACGTATTGGGAACAAAAGAAACTTAAGAGTCCTTGTGCCATCTGACTGTCATGAGCAGCTTCTTGTGGAAGAAATGAGTGCTCTCCCTGTAAAGAGAAGGCAGCTGTACCTCTCACCATGATAAGGGGATTTTCAGCCTTGGTGTTGCTTGGTTTTAACATCTACCCTTGGTTGTTATCCAAAACCTGTGCTGAGAGACACAGCACTGATGAGAATGAGGTGTTAAACTTTAGTATCTCTGTTCCAAGTACAGTGTTTGGGGCAAAGATTAAAATGGGACCAGGAGCCCAGGGCAGAAAGGCCTGGTGACATGTAATGAGCAGGGCCACACCACAGCTGTAATAGTGCCAAACTTCTACCGTTACCCTAGGAAAAGCCATGCCCCTGCCTTCGCTGCCAAGATGGCAGCAGGCAGAACAGTGTATCTGACAGGAGAACTGCTTCAAAAGAGAGTCAGAAAACTACTTGTAGCTTAAGCCACCAAGCAAATTGAAGCTCTGCAGAGAGCATTTTCCCTTCAGCAGAAAAGCAGACATGCGACATTCTGCTCCACATCCTAGTTTTGGTGACTGCGCTAAAATAAAGGGGGTAATGGCAGAAAATGTGTGAAGGATCCCTCATGCAATACCTCTGTTTAGTCAAGATCCAAAAATCGATCTTAGCATAGAGTTTATTCAAGAAATATTTAAAGCAAGTAACCTCAAACTCACAGACTAGAATCACAATAGGAGCAAGATGATGCAAGTATACAAGATGCAGGCATTGGCTATTTAAATGCTTCCTGCTGTAGATTTCACTCCCATGTAGTTCCAAAGATAAAATCTAATGTAGAAAGAAAAAGCAATGTAATGCCTCACATTTCAAGCCCACTGGGATAAAGGAACTGGGATAAAAGGAAACGTGCTATTCCATAAACAACCTGATTAATATCCATTGTAAAATTCATAAGATTATAAGCAATTATAATCACTGCATTAAGTAAACCATATAGAAGATAACATTGGCCTAAAACCAAAATTACCATAAAAATATAAGGTTTCCTGTTTAAAACAGACTTTTTCATCTTAACAAAAATGTATTTTGAATTACCTTTTCAGGCAATGGACATTTCACCTAGCTTCAGGGCAATAACCTATTCCTAATTTATTATTGTTTCACTTTAGGAAACACCTAGGAATAGTGAACTGAGTAAGTAATAGTAAGTAATAGTCTGGTATTAGGCCTCCAATTTTGCCTCCAATTGCTCCCCTGTTCGTTGTCCTATGTTTTTTGTCTTGTTAGATACGCATTAACCTGTTAGACTAACCTTCACTTCCCTCCCAGTCCCTCCAACACATTACAGTTCTTTCAAAAGACATCTTGGGAGAGATTGCTTTTTGGTAATCCTCCTCAAATGAGCTCTACAGATTGGTCTGGCATGCATTGTGTACCTACATCTGTCACGAAAATTTGATGACAAATCATGTTTCCTGACAGAGAGGCTGCACTGACTTCAAATTCCCATGAAATGTTTTTGTCCACCATGAAGAAAAACATTCTGCTCTATTGCAGTGATCATTTTAAAACTACCATCCTCCATTTGCTTTAGTCTGTATTTTCATTTATTTGTATTATAATTTTTCTGGACCAATTAAAGCCTGTTGCAAAATACATCTTCTCTATCATCTTTTGAGAAAATGTAAAGAGACCGGAACTAATGAAAGGAATGAAAGAAAATGTTTCACAGTAACAATGCTGTGTTCAGAGGGTGAGAAATGAGGATCCTTTTTAAGGCTGACCTACCCCAGTTTGTTTAAAACTAAGCTGAACTTGAACTGATAAACTACTCTTTTGAGATTAACCTGAATAGTGTACATTCAGTAAAACACTGTAAATGTAAACATACCTGAATTGGAGTCAAACTTTGTTTCTGACCTGAAAAAGAAAATAAAAAGATCATAAGTTACAAGAACTGCTTTATGCCATAAAAGCCATTTGTCAGACTGATCCCTCCAGCAAATACCATCTTTAACCAGACTGTCTAACTCTGTATATTAACATTTAATGCATTCAAAGGCCTCTGAATGCAAATAATAACGATTATATTTAATATATTACTGTTTTCTGTGCTGTTGTTACAAAAAAGATATTTTAAAAGACAAATCACTAAATGAAGAAAATAAAATATAAATTTGAACTAGGATTAAAGGATATACTGTGAATCGTAGCATAAAGTTGTTGGTATGAATTAAATAGTTTTCATTCATTTTAATTTTTAAAAAGTCATTAGGAGAATTTAATTCATCCATGAATGTTTCCAATCTATTTTTGAAGCAGATACTATTTCATTAATGTCATATGTATTGTATCCAATGATCTGTACTTAATTCTGCAACATCCTAGGAGGTTTTTGTTTGTGTGTGTCTTCAATTTACTCATTCTCCACATAGGAGTAAGTGGTTTGATTTTCTTAAAAGTGGAAAGTGGGGGGTGGGAGAGAAGAAGGGAGCCAGACCTAAATTTTAACTTGTTTTAAAGTCTTTGCAAAAAAGACAATGATGTGTGCATTATGCACCATTAGCTTTGGTCGTGCACTGCAGATTTTTCTCTCTCTAACAAGTAGTGTTTTCTTCTAAGGGCTTAGCACTTAGCAAATGAACCCTATAACCTGTATATTTAATAAAAGGAAGAAAAAATTAGCCCTTGTGGGAACATCATGTTTCAGATATCGGTTAATAACACTTGTAAATGTAGAAGCCTTTGAAGGTCTCAATTCAACTGTGGGAAAACTTAAGTTGGGTAATTACTCAAGATGCTGCTGATGTGCTGTCAAGCAGAATTAACCCTATGACTAGGGCTATCTACACAATCTGCTACAAGACAGCATTGTCTATATTGAGCTCTCAAACCAATTAACAGGCATGTTCCAATCAGATTTATATCACCCACTAACAATCAGTTGCACGCATGGTCATGGCTGTCACAGCAGGACACAAGGTCTGACCAGCAGGAGACCTGTTAAAGCATGTTACATTGGCAGCAAAATGCATTTCCCCAGAAATTCTGAGGAGGAGGTACAAAGTTGGATCCTTCTACATTGCATCAAGGAAGGGATGTATTTTTGGGAAGTTACAGTCCTTTTTTCAGAAGCAAATGTCTGAAGCTCAAAAACTAATTGCAGATTTATTTTCAACTTTTATTTTACAAGCTAGTACATGCTGTTACATGTAGATGTCTTTTACATGCACTCTACATTTTTATATAACCTGCACTGTAATTCTATGCCAAATATCTATTCTACAGCAAATAAATATAAAACCAATTATAATTTAAAAAATTAACAGGTTCACACTATTAAAGTAATCAGGAAGGAAACAACTCTCTTCTCGCATCCTGCTCATTCTACACCTTCCTCCAGTGCTCACAATATTTTGTCTTAAATATAACTCTCAGGAGATGAAAAGGTGAGAGGGAAAAGACATATCTTCATAATTAATATTTTTAGTACCACCAAAAGCACTGAACAAGGAAAGCACGTTGCTGACACGCCTTCACAAATATCAGTACCGGTAACTGCCCAGAGCACTAGCCCGTGCTCAGTTTGGCAGTATAATTCAATTGGTATTTAGACCAGAAGGAATGAAGTCCCCACCCTGTGAAATGTGGTAACCTGGGGGAAATTCCACTGAGTTAGAATTAAAGCCACTTAGTCAATGTTTTATTTACAATATTCTCCTCAAGCTGTTGTATACCTACACTATTCTCTCTCGCTCATTACAGTATCAGCAACACCTCACTACTACATGGTCAGACACAATGTATGAATCTTACCCGCAGCATCTGCACGATCAATTTCTCGTTGATCTCGTTGCCTAAATTATAGATACTCCCTATTAATTGGTCAAACAGAGCTCTTGCTTCTCAGCCTGCATGGTTTGTTATGGACATATGCACTGCAATTTGTGGCTTCAACAAACTGGCCCAAGGGCCAAGGTGGCAGAGTATGCATGGGGAGGAGGGTCACAAGGGTCACTGGGCACTGTAATGAGTACCAAAGCTCCAAACAGTCATAAATTACTGGACAACACATCAGAAAACTGATATGGGGGTGATAAATGAATCGAACTTTGTCTGGCAACAGCAGAATAGCTATGAAAGAAAACACAACATGGGAGGTAGTACTAGGATCCATCAAGAGCAGGAGGGTTACCTATGTTATGGTCACCATTTCCCCTTGGGAAAACAATGTAAAATTTAGGACACAGTATTACATAAACTGTTAGAGATCTTAGTAAAGCACAGAAAAAGTGGAGGAAAATAATGAAGCATCTTTGACACTGTAAACAAGCAACAAGTGGCAGATGTGAGAGAAGCACTCTGCAAGAACAAAGTCACCTTGGCTACTTGAAGGAATGACAAAGCATACAGCCATTTTAATGAAAGCAGCATTTTCCCCTTCTTCCAGTATTTATATCTGCTTCTCAACAGCATGTTGGATAAAATGTCAGAGACTAATTGCACATAGGTGTTAAAAATGCTCAATTTAAACATGGTCATTAAATAGGATAAAATTAAATACTGAAAGTACATTCCAAAGGGATGTTCTGCTACACACAAAAATATTCACTCTGAGTCCTTTATATTTTTAAAACTACATTAACTAGAAGGGAAAAACTCCTCAGTACATTGTAACCATAGTCCATACTCTGATATCCAACATAAGCATCCTGCCAGACAAGATGCAGACTGTATGAATTGTCTTTTATCATTTATCACAGCCAGAGGGGAACATCCCAACACCACTCCCCACCCTCCCACCGCCAAATGAACAGATAATAGCTTTCTGCATATTTTCTCCACTTCCGTCTCCTATATAGGAGTATTCTGAAAGCCAGGTAATCATTCATAAATATGTTTGGAAAGGAGTCTATATGCATGAAGAGGAACAAGAGGGTATTTATAAAGTGCTTTTCATTTCCAACTTCAATATGGCTCAAATACACACAACACATGGCAGTAAAAATGTCAAGTAGGCTCAGCCACCAACACACCATATGCAAGGAAGTAGTGAGTTACTGGAAAGATTTAGCTAAGCACAAGTTGCTGCAATACTTGTGAAGATCCCAGGAATAATTAAGTCAAACACAAACAATAGAATATATGATGGTCATTTTATCTGTACTGCAAAGAGATGCAGGGTTTCAATCTCTTTCTTCTAAAAGACATCATATACCAGATCTTCAGACTTCCAAGTACTAAGAAAGAGAGAAAAATGGAGTAATGATAAGCATTATGTGTTCCTATAATCTGAATTTTAAACTATTGCCTTCCTAAGTATGACTAAACTGCAGCTGTTCAGTGCCACAAATTACAGTGTCAACAGAGATACTACAGCTGAAGTTAACACAGACCTGCTACTTGCCAGGGAAGCAGGCCTTTGTCAAAGAGAGAGGAAGGAGGACTTACTGCAGAACCTCTACTGTTGTGTTAAAACTGTATTTCCTTTTACCTTTCATGATGAAGTATTTAACAAGTTTGTATAGGTTTTGTTGAGGGAACATAGGGGACAGCCTTTGGAAGCCCTACAACTCTCTCAGAAAGTACTCTGCAGTTCTAATCCTTGTATTTATTCCTCTTGGCTTTACTAGGCCTTTGCTTTAGCAGTTTATACCAGGCTGTTCCTTTGTAAGGCTGTGCTTCAAGTGTCCTAAACAGAACAATGGTAGGGGAAGACATTCAATATACTACTTCTCTCTGAAAAGGACTTTGATAAAGATATGTTACAGTCATAAAGGTGGTGCATCATTGTAGGATCATATTTACAGGAAAATGACATGTACTAAATAAACGAGCCTATAGTTTAAAAATATTCTATTCCAGAGACTTACTGTGTTGATTGCAATATTGTTAGTATTAATGATTGTATCATGTATACTTAAAGGAATTATGAACATGACTGAGAAAACTATAAATCATGTGAGAGTCCGTTGTCTTCTCTCCTCACATCTTCAGTATTTGATTTTCAAATAATTTTATTCCATATTGGCATGGGCAGTTTACTGAAGAGATGATGGTCTAGCAGGCTCCTGATGCAATCCAAGCCAAGCCATGTCCTGGTCCAGGTGACTGAGCAGAATACAATCAATCCTCTCTCTCCTGTGTTTGCCTCCCAGTGGTACAGAATATACATAGCTGCAGTATCAGTGCTCCTGCTACAGCATTGCTAGCAAGCTAAAGGACAGGACAGTAATGCTCAGTTGGGAACATATCCCTGGACACTGCATTGGCCCTTATCATGCTGATGAGAACCGTAGCCAGAAACTAGGCAAACTGCAGAGGAGGCTCAGGCCAGGGACCACTCCCCAAAAGCAGAATGAACAGGCCACTCTGTTTCAGAGTAGAGGAATTGATGCTAAAAACACAAGCTATGTCTTGTCACTTGCCTAGAGACAGAGAAGAGACTTTCTCCATTTTAAGTATAGACATAACCCTTCTGAAAATGTAAACCATTACCTGGAAAGCAGTCGCCGGTCATACTCATGAGGTGAAGCTCCAAAAAGCTTCTGGAAGCTCCTGAAAGTCAAGCTTCCAGAAGTTTCCAGAAAGGAAAATGGAGCAATATTCCAACGTTTAAAAAAAAATACCTGATGTACCTACTTAGGAATTTATAAGACCTGCACCATCAGGGAATTTAAGAAGTCCCCAAGATTTAAGAACCAAGCAGAAAGAGCAAAGCTAGGCTTGCTGCTGTGCTGTGGCCAGGGAACAGATCTTGTGGTGTCTCAGGCAGCAAAACAACTCACAGATATTTCCGAGCTGGACATCCCTAATGCCTGTCTCTCTTCAACCCTCATGTGGATTTTCAATTATAATACAATAATATATACTATTTAGAACAATATTATCTGCTATAATCTAGTAATATAGTTGAACTCTTATTCAGACCTCTCCTCAAAGAGAGCTTGAATATGCTCTCTCTCTACTGATTTTCTTATTGCTTTAAGGACTTAATATCTTTGAGGTTTAATAACTACTTCCCTGAAAAATTTGGCTGAAATCGGCAAATAGATTAAATGATTCAGTTTTATTATTATGAAAGGATTGACATGGAGTCAGCATTACACTGTATAAATTCCTTAATAAGCCTGGTTAAAGAAAAAAAAATCACTATTGACAGATGATGTGATAAATTCTGTTCTGCATATTGATGAAAAGCCAAATTCAAAATGAGCATTTTAACATCAGAGAATTATTTAGGTTGGACAATGCTTTTAAGATCAATAAAGTTCCAACCATTAATCAAGTGCTGCCAAGTTCACCACTAAACTGTGTTTTTAAGTGCCACATGTATATGTCTTTTATATACCTCCAGTGATGGTGAAGAGTAGTGTCTGGGTCAGTTCAGTCCAGAGAGACAGAATGTCTTTAATGTGAGAGCTATAAACAGATAGACATAGAAATATATACCTTCTGTAGTAATAATCCGTAACAATTCACCCTACCTGATTTTTATGTGAGGTACATACGTGCCATATTAAAGCATAAAGTAGGTTAAAACCAGCTGAAAATTACTTCTTCCAAGCAAAGTGACTGATGAACAGTCAATACTAAGCAGCATAAATTTCAAACAAGGAAAAATATATCAGACTTAAAGATTTACAAAGAATATGTTGTACTTTTACACTGAAAACAACAATGAAATTCATACTAGAATCAGTATCTGTGCAAGGATGGTAAAATCAGAATCTATGCAAGGATCATCTCTTGTACTCAGCACTGGTGAGGCTGCATCTCCTCTTCAGGTTTCGGCCCCCCACAAGAAGAACATTGAGGTGCTGGAGTGTATCCAGAGAAGAATAAGGATGCTGGTGAAGGATCTGGAGCACAAAAAGGATGTTGAGGGAAGGCCCTATCACCATCTACAACTACCTGAAAGAAGGGTGTAGCCAGGTGGGTGCTGAGCTCTTCTCCCGAGTAACAAGCAACAGAATGAGAGGAAATGTCTTCATGTTGTACCAGAGGAGGTTTAGATTGAACATTAGTAAAATTTCTTCATGGAAAGCATTGTCAAGCACTAGAACAGATTGCCCAGGGAAGTGTTTGGGTCACCATGCCAGAAAGTATTTAAAAGATGTGTAGATGTGGCACTTGGAAACATGGTTTAGTGGTGGGCTTGGCAGTGCTGGATTAACAGTTGGACCCAATGATCTTAATAGTCTTTTCCAACCTAGACAATTTGTTGATTCCTACACTGATGAGAACGAACTTACTTCAAACAAATGTCATTAATTAGAAACTGCTGGGTTTGACAGTCTTTTAAGGAAACTAAGAGACAGTGAAGACAGAATAAGTTGCTCAAGTAGTTCTCTAGTAGTACTAGTGAAACTATATCATTGATGTCATATGGGCTCTCCTAGACAGATAAACAGTACTGATTTTTCATATGCCTTCCTCAAAGAATATAAAGATCAGTAAGAAAGCTTAAAGACCATTCCTTAAGTACACAGCACTGGTGCAAGGAAACTCCTTGTAGAGATCTAGACTGATGACTGAAATCCTTCCTTGTCTTCTGAAGGCAAGAGTGGTACTATGTTAATGGTACAATAACATTGCGCAGCCACTCTTTCATTTTCTCTTGATTGGATGTCTGAGAGATGTTGAGAAAACCTGACAGAGCTCAATAAAAAGCAAATGAAAACATAACATGGATAAGGCTATTGCTATGTCTGCTAGTACATGTTCAGAAGAGCTAACACCATTACCAAGAATTCCTTCCAGGAAGCAATAAGGGCAGCAGTGGGTGTTTTATGAAGACTTGGTAATTTAGTCTTTGGCCCTAAAAACTGGAAACTGACAAAACAATATTTCTTTTTTAAAAGAAAATAATTCTCCCAGGCTTCTCAGTTCCCATCTATACCACATCTTTCTCACAGTCCTGCATATGGTAAAGGACATGACCATGCTTTATTAAATATGGAATAGATTCTCTCCTATGGCAGTAGCATGAGTCATGGATTTCACTCGGGTCCATTTTAACCTCCTGTTTCTATGGCTGTGGACAGAATGGTATTTTTGAATAATGTCTAAGAAAGTGCCTTGAAAAATTCAAGTAGGCACAACCTTGCAAATACAGTTGGCCTTTAGAAAACACTGAGGATTTGACTGGCATAGGTGGCACTTTGTGAACTAATATAGAAAAACACAGCCTTGCTGTGGAGACTATCCAGCCATGACAAACATGGCTGATAAAAAATTAACATGAGCGGGTATGGTTGGTAAGTATAAGGACTTTTTCTTGGGCTGCACGGTGTGAAAGTTCAGAGATGGAATAATAAGATTCAATAGCATGATTATGTATTTCATGTGTGAGGCACCTTTGATTGTGGAAAAAGTTAAAGCATGTCCTCCATAAAGCTTGGGAGGTTTCTCATAACACTAGCACAAGTAGGTAGATGAAGAGATGTGACATTCCTAATTGTTTCTTTTATCTTCCATGTGACAGAGACAAAGTTCTATTTTAAAGACTTATCAAAAAACAGGTCTTTCATCTGGAGTGTAAAATTCATATGTTCCCTGACCTCGTGTGTCACACGGTAATGAAACAATGTAAATCAGAAATGTTAAAAGTTGAAGTTTGTTAATATTACTGCTGAAGCTCCAGTCTCTTTCCTAGTTAAACTGACAGGTCCATAGTCCAAATATATATATTTACAGATTACAACGACATAAAGACAAAAAAATTAATGAACATCAATGAGAAAAAAATGTAAATGCAAGTTTCAGATGACTATTAGGAAATTACAAAAAGAAACCACCAAAAAAAATCCCATGCCACCACAAAAATTACTCATATTTTAAATGGGGAAATAGACCTTCTTTGTACTTTACTACCATCTTACTCCTAAGGAAATACTTCAGTAATTTACATTTGTGGTAAAAATTTTAAAAAGCTTATATTTTGCATTCTGTTATCTATGTTTCCTTCTCACGTTTTTTTTTAGCTGTCTGAGCTGAATCAGTGGCCAAGATTCAGAAATCTATCTCTCCTGGTTGAGGAAGACATCATATACAGATATTTTGAGGTCAATAAACAAAAGAAGATGGACTCCTACTGGCTTCTGCATTTTTTCCCACTGTTGTCAGCCACTTCAGAAAAACTGGCTGAATTAGATGTAGGCCAGACGTAGCAAGAGTTCATAAGGCAACACAAAGACTTTGGGGGGACTGAGTTAAGGTCAGTCTAATCTCAGGACACAATAGGTCAGGCATTTTCTTCAGGTACCCACTGGCCTGGGAATTATTAAAATTAAAAAAATAATTTCCCTCTTTCTCTCTCTCCTCCCATAAAATCCACAAGGGTCTCAAAGAGAATCTGAAAACAGAGATATTTCCATATAGCTCATTTTAAAAAAAGAAATCCAACTCATTAACTCAAGACTATGCCAGAGCATACTGTGCACTTGAGATAATCACGGATAAGTCTCATATTGCATTTTTCCCATCATAAAACTATTTGAAAGCAACTACAAACTAGTTCACATTAATTTATGTATACTAGTGCTGTCCAAAACTCACACCGCAAAAAAAAAACCCTGCTCTTTCTCCATCAGATGATAGAAAGGAAGCCAGTCTTGGAAAGTAGAAGGTGAAATCCTGACTCCATTGTATTCATTTGCTAAATATGAATTTGCTTCAACAGAGCCAGGATCTCCCCCCAAAAGATTTAGCTATAGTTAGCCATGGAATGTCTAAGTGGCAGAGTAGAAAAACAGGTTGTGGAGAGTTTGGATTCCCACTCTGCACCTTTAAGCCAAGGACCATAGTAACACATGACATGAGACTATTGTCTTGGCTGTGTCTGGAACCATCAGATTTTCAACCAAAAAGATTCACATTATTACCAGTTTCTGCAGATAATCCTTCTGACAGAGAAATCAAACTTTACAGAGATGAGGTGCTTCTTTCATTTTACAGACAGTCTCCTGAGGACAACTATCACTACCACATCTGGTGATTCTAGAACTACATAATTGTATTTTCATTTAACCTATTATTGGCACAATATTCTCTATTAGTGCTATCCTGATCATCCTGTTTCATGCTCTTGTAAAGGTACCTCTTTAAGTGCAAGGGACTAAGTTTGGGTGAACTGAAGGGGAAAAAAAAAAGAAAAAAATTAAATTCTTCATCAGAACAAACACAAGCAGCCAGAAATAAGAAAAAGCACATAAACAAAAACTGAATCTGTGCAGAACAATGCAGTAATCAGGGGAATTCAATCAGCACTGCTTCTAGAATCAAATTCAGGACATTAATTCCCACAGTACTTCTAAAGAGTATTTTAAAACCAGCTCTCCATGTGTGCTAACTGGGATGAATGGAAATTCAGTAAGTAATGAAATTTTACTTGGTTTTGTTTTCTTAACTGCTTGAATTCTAAGAAAAAAGTGTCTACTTTTTTCTCCATCATCAGCTAAAATGATGTATGTAAAATTTGGCATCGCCACCTGGTATCTCTTAAAGCTACCTGTAAGTAATTCTAAGTTAAAACTCAGTATCTATTGACACAGTGAAAGACTGTTACATTTACCTGGCAGAGCTGCATATAGAAAAAAAATTTTAAAGTACTAATTTTTTCCTGTCATATTTCCTCCTTTACCTGAATGTCATCTTCCTACCTTATTTATCCTAATTTTTTATATTTATTATAAGACTAATTTTACTACAGCATTATTTACATTGATTGTCTTGTATTCCTTAAAAGGTTGAATGACTTCACCATTCGATGATTCTATGAAATGGCCTTATACAATTATGTATGAAATATATACAAGATTATACATAACCTAAGAGACAGAAATCTCAAAACTATATTGAGCATACTCACCTGAATAAAGGAGTTCCACAAACAACACATTTGTATATTCCTTGAGCTTTGTGGTGTGTGTACTCCCCCTCAAAGGCACTGGGAAAACAACAACACTTCATTTTAAAATTAAAAAAAGGAATTAGTTTTTTGGGTTTTTTAAAAGTTGCTGAGTCTTTAGAAAAATGTTATAGAAGAAGTCCACGATTTCTAAGTTGGCAGCTGTTTTTTATTAAAGGTAGCAAATAAAGCAGGCACAGGAAAAGGGGAATGTCCTCATTAGTGTGCCTCGGATGTTACGCATCATGCAAAAGGAAGCAAATTGTCCCACAGTTCAAAGGCTGGAACAACAACAAAACCAAAAGAAGTCTTCCCCTATCTGGCAAGTGAAATGTCAAGTTTTTGTAAACTGATTGTTTGGCACGTAGCTCAACCTGCCGCACCTTGCTGTATCTACGTCTGGGCCGCGTGCAGGGCTCGGCGGCTGCAGTGGAGCGAGGTGTGAGGCCGCCTGGGTGCTGCAGAGTCGTGGCGCTGGGTCAGGCCAACACCGGCTGCCTGGGCAGCAGACATTGTAGCTGAAAATGAAATAATTGGTCCAGGATTTCAAGCTGTACGCGTCTTATATTTTCAGTTGAAAAGCAATATTCCAGCTTTAAGGGAATATTTTTCTAAGTTAACAATCTAAAAGGCTAGGAGGTCATTCACCTAATACGAATCAGCTGCGCTAGCCCAACAAAAAGCCTATGTGCTCAGCAGCTTGTTTTTATTATCCTTTCACCCTTTTTATGAGGCCCAATTTTTTTTATAAACAGGATTTTTAAGAATGACCTAATCTCCGATTGTTTGTGTGCATTAAATCACGTTGTTGGTCCTGTACACAAGAGCGTGGAGGGCTGGGGGGAAGGCAAAGATGGGCCTCCCAGCAAAGGCAACCGTCCCTGCGCCCCGCCAGGGCTGCGGCAGGATGGAGAGGGCTGGGGTGGAGAGGGGGATTGTCCCCACCAGCCTCTCTGGCATGTTCAGTGACCAAATTCAGCACTGTCAGGAAGAAGTTTGCCTATTAACCAGGACCCCACGTGCAGCGGGGAGTCCTTTCAGCTCATGAATGAAAACAAGCAGTTACATCATTAGTACGTTTAGAGCAGAGGTAAAGCCAGGGCCTTAAGCCAAGCTCAGTGGTATAAATTAGACAACAAAAAATGGCTGGGCCTTGGCAGGTTACCTTTGGCTGGAATCAGCTGAGAGAGAGAGACTTTATTCACTAAAAACAATCTTGGAAGTCTGTCCTTTTTTTTCCCCCTCCAGGACTTGAGGCTGGGTTCCAGCGACTAAAGCCATGTGAGGGCAGTTATTGAAAATTTTTGACATTCCAACCACAAATGAGCCAATAAATACCTTCTCCACATGTGCTTCAAAAAGAAATTGGAGTGGGGTGGAAAAGAACTAAATTATGCTACCTTCTTTCTGCAGCCAAACTGTCTATACTTACAATGGCCACCTTCAAAACTCCAGCCTCCTGGCACAGGGCCATTTCCCTCGTGGTTCTGCTTACTGCGATGTCTTCCAAAAAAAGTGCACCTAAACCACTATTACTTCCACACGTTTTGTAGTAAACTAAAAACAGACTCTAAATATGAGCCTGGTGACTTTATAAGACATGCAGTGTTCATTAAAAGAAAAAGTCACACAAGACCCTTGGCCCTGGCCCCCCTGTTGCAGATGCTTGTCTTTGCAGTAGTGTTAATTTGTAGGGGTTAGTAAACAAGTGCAGAAATCCTGGAAGAAGATTAAAACAACCAACAAAAGTTGGTAGGGAAGGTGAGGAAACAGCAGTAAGAGGAGGGGTGGGAAAGAAAAATGCCTGTGTTTTTAGATCTGAGTTTCCTTCATTCTGCCTTACCTTTCAGTCCCCTTCTCCTGAGTGACATGGTACTGCAGGGGTGTCAGCCGCTTCCTCAGCTCCTCCTGGGAAAAGACCACCTTACAGTCCTTTTTATCCCTACATGACCCTGCAAAAGGAGAGAATAAGGGAGAAGGAGCCTTTTTAGCTTAAATCCTGAATAATTGCTTTGGCAGACAGCCACAGTATAGCTTCTGCATTCACTTGTCAATGAGCAGGCTGGTCCCTAATGCACAAAGAATGGCTCAGCTGAACTGCAGCTGATTATTTATTCAAATATAAGTAGAGAAAAGAATTTTTATAGAGACCCAGGTGATTCCGCTGGAGCAGTGACAGTGTGCTACAGCCAAAGCCCTTTGGTGTGTTATACACTAAATTGTTGCGCGCACAATCATTCACAAGAAAGTACCATTTCTGACCATTAAAAAAAGATCTGCAAAAATCCCAACTACAGCCGAAACATTCTTTACAAGATATCTATATTGGAGACTTATGGTAATGGGCATATGATGTTTAGCCATAACATCTGGCAATTTCAGTACCCTTTAAAGTAGCTGAAAAACAATTCTAACCTTCAGAATTACAGTAAGGTTGATTTAATTTCTAGTTGCATCCTCATCCTTTATAACAGTAGTCTTTTTCTTTTTTCACTGTTGAAGCACCAGAATAGAGTCCTAAGGAGTACGTAATTTCTTTATGCACAAAGCTGTACAAGGTTCAACAATAAACTTGTAAAATTTGTTGCAAAGGAGGGTTGCTGTTGAAATTACCCTCCTCTGAAAATCTATTCTTAACACTTTGCTTAGTTCACACAGAAAATCCAAGGAGTACATAAGGATTACTGTAAAAAATCTACATTTGTATAGTACAAAAATCCACATTGGGAAAGCAAAAAAAAAACAATATAGTTACTTTTGGGAATGAAAATTCCCAAAGTAGTAACATAAATTGCAAAATACTCAGGTAACTTTGATGAGCATTGGAAAAAATTAGCTGAAAAAATGCAGCAAGGAAAAGCACTCTAATTATGACAGTAATTAAAATATGGTACAATAAGAAATAAACACTCCCAACAAAAATATTTTTTGCTAGTAATATATATATACTCATAAAAAGACCAATTGTGTTCTCAAAGTAGAGGCAACAGAGCTACCCATCTGTATGTCATTTAGTACAGGAGAGGCAATGGCAGGTTTAAATTACATGGTATTGGATTGCAATTTCCTAACATTGGATGCTTTTCTGCTTTTTTACCTTGAGTCATTACTAAGGAGCGTTCATAAAAAGTAGCTTAGAGCACAGATGCTTGCAAATCATTTAAGAAAAGATGTTTCTTTCTTCCTCCCCCTCTTCTTTTCTCAATTTTTTAATGTGTGGGGGTGGATGAATAGGGGAGAGAGAAAAAGAATAATGCTGTTGGTCACTACCAACTAACCCTAGGAAGTATTTTCAGGAAGAAAAAGTAAAATTGAAAACATCTGATTGAAGTAAATAGTGCAAACATTAAAAGCTTTACTAGTGAGAGAAAAGTATTGAAAAGCGACTTTATTTCATAGATTAGAAATTACTTTTGATCTAAACATTCTTAAAAACAGATTGTTTTCCACTTTGACCCATCTCATTAGCTGTACTGCAGAGTCTTCATTTTAAAGGCAAGCTTTGAAAGAGCGCTGCTGTATGCCTTTGTTAGCTTCACTCTTATTTGGGAGAGGGATAAAGATTTCATTCCAGGTCTCTTTGTTTGTCTTTCAAGAACCACTAAAGCAGTATTCACACAACTTTTGCTGGAATGTGCCCTGTGCCATAGCTTACAAATTATTTGGTTTTGGTGCACTTAAAGGTCACCTTCCAAATTAGCAAAATTTTCCTACATCCTGGCTTTTCAACCTTAAATGTAAATATTGTTTCCTAACTGTAAGTGAGGTTTGTTCTTTATAACATTTGGTTGCTTATTTAAGGATGTCAAACTTTGGAGGTTTTTATTCTCCAAACGTGCAGGACACTAGGACTAATAAGTCTTTCAAAGTATAGCTAACAGGGAAAGGAAGCATATGCATTCTATAAATAGCTATTGTTATCTTGCATTACGCAGTTCAGAAAGAAATTCTTTGAGAGACAATCTTTTCTTTACAATTTGAGTTTTAAAAAGTAGTCTAGAGAGCAACAAAGAATCTTACAAACCAACATCTCTTCACTTTTTAAAATGTCTACCATAATTTAAAAAAATAAATTCTATTTGCTACTTAACTGATTCTGAAGCTACTAGCAAACAAAGCAAACTTCACTTTGAAAAAAGAGAAAATACTGAGTGTTTATAAAAATAGTCAGTATGCCCCCTTTATTTTCCTTAAATAATTTTCATCTCATTTACAAATTTAATGTTCTCCAATCTGTGGGTTCACTGTATGCATAAGAAAATTTCTAGATGCCACATGATTCACCACAATGATCAGAAGTAGGAAGCATGTTTCAAAAAGATCCTTTGTATGCCTAGTTTTAATAATTAACCATATGTTTTATAATACAAACAATTATTTATGTTTGCAGGGGAATTTTACCAAATTGCACTGGGGTAAAATGCAACTGACCTCAATAAAGGATTCTTCAAGTTTGTAATTTGAGTATTGATCCACAAAAAGTTGCACTACAAATTATAAAGGAAATCTCTTGGTCCAGCCTTCAATCAAGGATGTCCCTATTCAATTAATTGTACTTATTATTTAACTGCTAGCAACAAACAAATACCTCAGTAAATGGATCACACAATTTCCCTATTGCCATAGAGGCAAGGAGGTAAAGCAGGACTCATCCTTGACTGCAGAGGATATAAGGGCATTTTATCTGAAATGGGGATAGCCTACAAGCTTCTATAAAATTCTATAAAAAAACTAGATGAGATTCTAGGAATACATTCCTTCAGTTAGGAAAAAAATTATGTGCAAAATGGACAAAAGTGCATAATTTTCAGTAAAAGAGTGTTTGCATCTGGTTTTGCAGCTGTTCCTTTATGACATTAGATGACTGTCACAATCAAGCCAACTGTTTGTATCCTGGGAGGGGACAACATAAAGCTACACAAATATGCCCAATATGAGAAAAACTTCCACTAGTAATGGAGCTGTTATTGAGCATGTGATTAAACCAGAGAATAAACAGGCAGGCTGACCACCTTCCTCAGTCTGGTTCTCCATAGATGGGATGAGGTTTGGGCTCTGGAAAGGGTCCATACAGGCAACAAAATGCTTCAGCAGCTCAGCCATAAAGGCAGGCTCAGAGTTCACTGGCAAATCATACAGTTTGAGGCAAATGAGACAAAGGTCATCAGTTCTACAAACAGCATTATATCAGTGTGGTTACTGATTAAAGGTGAGGCTAATTTAAATGCAGTATGAGAATAAGAGAGCCTGGATTCATAGGATCTATAATAGCACTCTTGTTCCTTGGAGATGGTGTTCTCAGCAATGACTTTTAGAAAAGCCCAAGGTAGTTCTGAACTCCAGTTAAGAGGTGAACTGCCTGCAAAGGCGGACAAAACCTCTTTGATCCACTGCAGGATTGGAGGCCAGATTAAATCTCTCTAATCAGTGCCCCATGGTGCCTTCTTTGGGGTTGGCACTTCTAAGAAGAGCAGTGTGCAGGCAGCTACTTCAGCCCTCTGGCAACAGCTACAGCAGTACTAAAGGCACTTATGATCCTGGAGCAGGATGGCAGGTTTTGTGAGGAAAAGACCAGCCTCACAAATCTTAACGGGGAAAAAAAAAAAAAAAATCTGAGGAAGGTGAAACAAATATCAACAAACAAATATCAACATAAACTCTTCTTGGAGACTTCACAGTATTCTTGTTCTTAGGAATGGGGTTTTTTTTCTGAAAAGCAAGGCAATGCATGCTGCCATTTACTATTCACCTGTAAACTATGGGCATTTCAGAGCTCAACTCTGAAGTCTGCTGTAAAAATTAAGAGAACAGAAAGTATTTTCTGGATGTTGACCTGATAAGGAAGTAATTAAGCATCTCACCTCACATGTAAATTCCAACTGACTTTTTCAAACCTATGGTTCATAACATTCCTTCCTTATAAGCAATCACAACAACAAGAGCAACAAGACATGTTCAGACAGATGGACACAAGTTAGCAGACCATTACTCCTCAACTCAGCCCCTCATCTGTTCCAACACACCAGAGGTTGGTGATCAGTGTCTGACATGCCCTGAAATATGATGGCATTTTGCCTGATAGCTTTCCTATATCAAACACTCTTTTGAATCATTCTAACAATTTGCTCTTATGTTTTGTTGCTTGCTATCAGTGAAATTAACTCAGTATTTCAATTGCATGGAAGACACAACATACATTTTCCCTCTTCTACCTATGCTTATATTCCACTAGCCACTAGCATTAATGGACATTATGGTCATGTGCTGAGCACTTAGCCTTCCTAACTAAATACAGCAAGATCAGATATTCCAGCAGAGCACAGCCATTTAATAAATTGGGCTTTTAGATTTTAGTACTATTTCTTTTAATATAGCAAGTTTTTTAGGGGCCTTACAGGACCTTTTATTTTTCATATCCCACTCCAGCCCCAATCCTGCAATGGGACCTGTGTAGGCAGATCATTGAGAATATGCATAGCTACTTGGGGGGTCTATGGCTGTACATCAGATTACAGGATCTGGCTCTAAGTATACATCTCTTTGCTTCCCAAAGTCTGTCCCATCATGAGTGAGTCAGACCTTGGTAGACTGATGGTAAATTACCTCAAACTGATTTTAAGAGGAATTTCACAAAGTTAAAAAAAATATTTGCATACATTTCTTTAAATAAATATCCTTACATATGCTATTGCTAACACTTAGTATTTTTAAAAGTGGAATTTCTCATTTCTTATTACTTCAGATTTCATTTCACAGTTTATGACTCTTGTTGCCAGTTTTTCTTCACTGTCTGATTAAGAAAAGGCAAGCTCACAATTCTCACATATTTTAATTTCTGTTTAATTTCTTCTCTGCAGCCTCTAATCTTCAGCCTTGGGAGAATGCTGCAATGCTCTCACTGCAAACAAGTCAGGAACTGCTATCGAGTTAAAAAAGAACAGCTCTTGAGAAC